CACTTTGAGTTTTATACAATTTAATAGTTTTTCAGTTGGACAATTTGATAGCTGGGCAATTCTATAGTTGGGCAATTTGACAGCTGAAGAACTCAACAATTCTACAGCTGACCAGTTCGGCAGCCGGGCAATTTTGCAACTAGGCAGTTTGACAGTTGGTTCAACAATTCAATAGCTGATTAATTCAACAATTGAGCAATTCAATAATTCGACAATTGGGCAACTCAGAATGTCTTTTTAGGAGTATAAATTTGTAATATTACTTGAATACCAATTATCTGAAAATATGATGCCTAAACCTAAGTGAAACAAAAGAAAGAACAACAAAGAAACTACAAAAGTGAATTAGCACTGTAAAAGAGAATTTCATTTTTTTGTTTGGCTCAAGTAAGCCTTTGTTTGTAGCGGCATAAAAAATAAATAGAATATTAAACTTGAAATGAGATAAATTAAGTATTATAACTTTTATAAAACTATCAATATTACAAATTAAATTATCACTTTAACTAGCAGAAGAATACAATGCTACACATTGCCCTTACAAAGATGAAGGTTATAAATAACTACAGTTATAAGCACCCAAAAAAATTATTTATTTCTTACTTAAATGCACCCTACTTCTCTTTCTATCTTTTTTCTCTCTTTTTTTAATTATTATTTTCTTAAGTATGCATATAAGTGAGTGTCCTCCATCAAAAGATTAATCCTTAGTCAAATCAACCCCAATACCTTGTTATCATCATTGTTAATAATCATGATTTTACTTTCATGGATGGACTAATCCATGGAACTTCTGATAAAAGATTCTCCCGTAAATTCAACTGGGTTTCATAGGGATATCTCTGAAGGACTCTTTCCATGAGTACTTTTGCTTTGCTTTATAGTACTGAAGGCATGACACACGTCACCATAGAACTTTTAGGAGCCCCCTCTATCATCAGCTATCTCAAATAAGCTGTGTGCAATGCCTCATGATGAGGGAGCATTTATAGAACATATTATTTGATTCATTCCTCCTTAGTCTTGTTCTCCACCATTGTCAAAGGCTATGCAACACCAATATTCAATGGTTGGCTCTGGATAGCGTCGATGCGATCAACCAGAGACACACCAATGCTCTTCTTCTAGTCTACAAATCAAACGACAAAATTCATATAAATCATCAAATTTGGTAATAAAAAAATCCTCATTCATTACGAAAACTATTAAATACAGATTTATTGACCATTTTTTTACCCTCCAACATTCTCTTAATGAAGCCAGAGGAAGTACAACAAACAATATCGATTTGCATTTTTTTAAAAGCATTATAACTCTTCTCTTCTTCCTCAATCAACAACAATGAGCCAGACATCTCCCTTCCCATGTGTTGCATCCTAGTTGGAATATCCCAACCACTCAAACTACAAGCAAAAATAAGTGCTTATTCCAATTGGCTGGCATTTTGTTAGCCAAAAACATCGTCTTCAGCTGCAAAGAAAATACAAACATCCCATCCAACATCTTTAGCTGAAAGACATGGTGAAATAGGTTTGTAAACTATTATGAACCCCATGAAAGCATAAATAACAACCGTCATCACATTCACAATTGAGTTAGGGCTAATATTAGCAAGAATAAACCTAAAGGTATTCAAAATGTCAGGCTAAATCCACACAAAATTGAACAAAATTGTTCAAGGTACACTATATTTAGAGTTTCCTCTTTCCTTGTCACCCTCACGGCCACAACATTATCAAAAAGATACTCCAATTGGGCCCACTTCACTTAATTTTTGTCCACTTACGAGCCTCTTTATTATTTATTCAATAAAGAAGAGGTTTCTCTTCCCTCCAAATAAGACGCCTTATTGAGAACTAAAAACTAGAAGTTTGTTTTCCTACTAGAACTCTCCTCCCTCGAAAGATATAAATAACATGAATCTTCTTGAAAAGAAGTCCAACTCATGTGGATCTCAAATGAAATTATAAATTATGAGATATAAAAGAAAAAAATAACAAATAATGTATTATTAAGAAAAAAAAAGATATTTCAGAAATATCAATTATTAATTGTGGATATAAGTACAAAATTTAAAAGTCTTTAAAAAGACGATTGGATACATGATCAACCATAAAAAAATATAAATCATTCTTTCTTAATATCCTCTACACCAAATGCTGCATGATGTATACCAAATTAGCATCTGTGGATTTCATCTTCTGATGTAATGCGACATGCTCTCTTTTGAACTTTTTTCTCTACTCCTGGAATTTTCGATCTACTATCAATAATACACCCTCGTGCATCCAACAATCTATCCTCCAAAATCGCGACACAATCAATCATTATTTGTTTATCTTTTGAGATGGAGAAAAGTTGATTTGCAACTAGGGCCTGGTGGGATCTCTTCGGTAAAGAATTTCTTTCAATAGCTTGCTTTGAGATCCCTCGAACAACCTAGTATCAACATGTCCTGGTCCCAAACCTTCCCTGACCCGGTCCATTAATGTCTCTAAGGGAAAAAGGCTACCATATTCAATAAGGAAAGTATTGGATTGACAATATTGCATAATGTTATCTTTAACAAAGGGGCTATCAACACTTCGATCGAAAATTTTCCCTCAACAACAGGATCCTTAAGAGAGACACTTCCTAACTTCATGGGACCCTCATAGATTTTTTTCTAAATTGATGGCCAGTCCTTCGTCCCATCTACTCCACCACCATTGTAGGTTACATAAGAGTTTCCATTTGAAGATTGTAAATTGAAGATACATGAATACAAATTAAAGGAAACTCACTAGCAAGGCCAAGTATGATAAGTGTTGCAGTAAAAAGTTATCCCTGCTCCTTTGGCATCACAGAAAGCTATCCCTCTATCGAATCATTTAAATCGAGAGAAACCGTCCCTGATAAAAAAGATTCTAATAGAGAACATGACACATTTTCTGTCAAATTTGCCCTTCACAATGTATTCTCAAAGGAGCCCAATGAGATTATATGTTTTTTCATCAAACCAAAGGGGGAACTCTCATTATGTACTTCATCCTTCCCAGAAGTCTTGACTTTATCTCATGATTCTTCTTTTAATTTCATGAGGGTCATTTGCTTCCTATGTTGGACATTCACCTCCGGACAAGCCCTTGAGTGGTTCATTCTCACCGTGGGTGTTTTTTTTTTAAAGTCATAATAGGATCCATAAAATATTATATAAGGCAGAATGTCATTCTTTCGCTACGCTATAAGAACCTTGAAAGGAGTATGCATACTTAAGCTTCATAAATTTTTTTTAACTAATGTTATATATAGCCTCTAACTTATCTTTTTGTGATTTTTCCTTTTAGAGGCCCACAACGTAGCTACAAACTAATTGCTTGAGTGAAAATTAATGCTTAAACAAAACAAGATCTCAATAGGTAAATGGAAATGTTGAATCAGCCATTCCCTCATGGGATCCAATGCGCCTAAGGAAAAAGTAGATCTCCCTCATTAATACAACTTGAGAGATTACTCCATTGAGATGAAGCGCAACATGACCCTCAGTGAAGGCCAGTCTGGTGTTTTGTTAAGCAAAGACGAATCTAATTTCCTGTAGGAACAACCAATGAGCACGATGGATAAAAAGAGTTGATTTTGAAGACATGATATATTCTCACCTTGTAGATCTCTTAAGAAGGTCGGTCAAACAATTGAAAAAATCTTCATATTCCCGTTCTTGTCATGGAAGTCAAGTTGAAGAGTTGAGAGAATCGATGAGCTAAGTGCATACACAAATATGATTTTGTTATTTTTTTAATTATTTAGCTGAATTGAGCTAACATATCGAAATGACAGAATTGAACTCACTTGTCAAATTAGTTGAATTGATCCCACATGCCGAAGTGAGTAAATTGAGGCCACATGTTGAAGTGTCTAAATGGAGTCCACCCACTCAAGTGGTTGAATTAAGTTCACCTACCTAATCAAGCCCACTCGCCGAGTGGTTGAAATGAGCCGACTTGTTGGAGTGGTAGAATTGAGCCCACCCACCAAGGTGGTTGTATCCATTTTTCCTAAAAGGACGATTTAGCTCACTTGTGTGAGGGTGGTTGTCGAAGAAGACTATCATGACTTGTAAGAACATATTTCAATCTATTACTAAAAGCATCACCCAACATTTAGGACTCCATCTTTTCACTCAAACACCAGGGATGTGCATTCTATCACCACTGCTTGGCAAACATTTCACAGTCTTTTCATCAAGACGACGCGGGAGGATGCTATACAGTGTGAAATGTATCTCACTATTATTTTATTACTTTTTTCCTTTGTGTATAGGGTTGAGGAGATAGATGTGACACTCTAACTTCTTGCTTCCTAAATGTAATTTCTCTTTCTTTCTCTCTCTAGAATCTTATAACTGGGGAACTTCTTTGGGGCATATCTCTGTGACTCAAAGTAGATAAGAATTCAATACATTTTCTAAGGTTCTCTCTCAAGACTAATCTGAATCTCTCTCTCTCTCTCTCTAAGTGATGGAAAGTCTTTATTGAGTTGTATGCTCTCAAAAATAGCATGAGACCTACATCTCAAAAGGAATCAACACACAAATATTTACATACATTCACATAACTTTATGTTGTTATATATCTCAAATATTAATTTTAACATTTTTTTAACTGCCAAATCATTTATATAATGTAAAAATATAATCAACTTTCAAATTAAAAAAAAAAACACATTTCATATTTTTCATATTTTTTCATATTTTTGATATTTTAATAAAATATTATAAAGATAAAATCAAGAGGCATTTGCATACGCATGGAAAATTTCCCTACTATTTTAATAACATTCCTATCCATTACGCTGAATTTCTCTGATCGGCTCTCCGTAGCCATCCTCCGAACGCCACGTTAATGCCATGCATATCTCATGTAGACACGTGGCCTCTCCGCACGAAAACCCCCAAATCTGCACGCGTCCTCCATGCTCCTCCCCATCGTCGCATATAAATCAAACCAACACAAACGCAAATTTCAGAGCAAAGATGCAGTTCGCAAAGGAGAAGATGAACGACATGGCTAGCAAGTCGAAGGAGAAAAAAGAAATCCGACACGCCATAGCAGAAGAAAAAGCAGAAAAGAAAGGCGCGAAAACACGCGAAGAGAAAGAGATCGCTCACGAGCTGTCGAAAGCGCGTCAGGCCGAAGCCAAGATGGAATACCATCTCGAAAAAGCGGAGCACCGCGCCGAAACGCTCGCGCACCGCGCCGCCGGGAAAAATCACCTTTCGGCGCAATCTGTATTGAATAGCGGCGGCGGTGGGGGAGCGTTTTATAACGCGCAGGGGCAGCCGGTCGGCGGTATGCCGGCGAGGCCGACGGGGGTTGGGGCGGGGGACGCGGGGCGGCCGGGG